TTCAAGATGACTGATGAAAAACACTTCGTCACGCGCGTGGACGTCAAAGTGCAACTTTCACTCACCACCAAAAGAGACTTGTTCGTGCGCACCCGAAAATTCTTTTTCACAGTCATAGACAATACGCCAATGGATGTGAATAATTTATTTCAAAGACAGAATTATTTATCCGTCAAGGTAAGACATATTGATATTTTTTACAACTTCAATTTATGTATTCCAGGGATCAGGTCACGTAATAGTTCTAAAACGGGTAAAAACTATTATTGGTGAAATAAAGTGGAAATCAGGTTGCACAATCTGAGACCGAGTAACTTGAAAATCAGCGCAGAATATTGCTGTTATTGCTTCACCAGCTCTCTTAGTTTAGCATATTTCAAACAGGGATGAATATTGCATCGAATTCCGGACTTCCACGAATAGTCCTGTTCACCGAGTTAACAAGGTAAATTTTGATCCAGGATATAATGCATCAAACTTTGGACGTACTTGTAGCTGTGTGTAAAATTATGCTTCATTTTCTGAGATTCGAAATCCAGATAATTTGATATACCCGGAAATTTCTTCCACTGATCAAAACTGAACTCATTCTCATTACTTCAAGATTTACGGAGGTGCTTTAGAAAATAAGAGATTATTCCCACATTTGGCCATAATCAGAATCATGATTTCGCACGTGTAACATTAAACACCGTAATGACTGACGTCGTTAATTCTAACCACTAGTCACGGACGTAGGATTACAGTTTGATCGGTGGTCAAAAAACATCGTTCACCAAATTATCAAGATCGGCCAACAGATTAACTGTTACCAAGTAATTACGTCCACGATTTTGTTGAGGTAGTTTTGTTTTAGATTCCAGACGTGCTCAACATACATCTACCTATGACCAGTGCAGAATGTGTTCCACAGTTCGCATTTTACCAGGTGGTCACTACAAAAATGTACCACTTACCAGTCGATTTCCACATATTTTCGCGTATAAGTAAGAAAGTTGTAAAACCTGTGTAAGAAAAAGTGTTTTCCTGTTCACTCAGAATGGTGTATGGTGTATAATTAGTTGGAAAGCTGAAGACTCTCATACGAAATTTTAGCAAAGCAAACATTAGATTAAGTCAAATTTAGTATATCCTTAAACTTCACCTAGAACGTTCCAACTTCAAAAATTCCAGTTTCTCCTACGAGGATACCAGTGTTTCCGAGCTTGAAGATCACATTGTCCAAAAATCTTATGATATTCCTGATATTCCTCTTGCCAAACAGTTAGAAATCACAGTACAAACTACAAAAGTGCATGCATTTCCAGGTCAAGTGGTGTTAAAAATTAGAACAGTGAGAGTTCGAACCTTAATCAGGATAAGTTGTACGACTGGCCTTTGTTCACTGAAAGTTCAAAGTATTCTCTGTGTTAATCGTCACAGAATTAACGTCAAGTGCTACTTATCTACTTTGAGACGGGGATGAAGATTTCACGTTTAGATGATAGAACGCATGAAATGACTTAATTCGGAGGTACAAGGTGAAAGTGTAATAGTACGACATAATCGAGGATAAGAAAAATGGCCTAAAATGAATTCAGAATAAATCAGCTATCCTGCGCACAAACATATATTATCGCAATAAAACACTGAAACTGCTTATTCTGTTTATTGAAGAAGAATGTCAGTTTCGCTTGGAAAAGCCTCAGGTAAGTGATTGAGATGTCCACAGACAAAAACCCTACACTTCCGAACAGATGGTCATTTGTCCGACGAGTTTCAATGGGACCAAAGTGCTCCTATGACTTAGCTCTTTGGGCTCCGACTGCAACCTTGCCCTACGCAATAGTTTTGCTACAGTTAAATGTGGCTGATTGAAAGACGTTTTTGAGGCTCACCCATTATAAGCCCGCACACCTGAATGATAGTCAGTCACATTTCAGCAAATATCACCAGTTGGCCAGATCTTGATAGATTGCCTAATTTCATTAAATTTAGCTAAATCAAAAGCAGCTTATTGGACAAAATCAAGTGATTGGTTCTAGGAATCTAGGAATGGAGTCACGATAGAAACTGGCTATTTGAACATCAAAGAATTTGCTAATCTGACGTGAATAGGGTGGGTAGAAACAGACTAGGTTTGAAGTGTCACAAGTTAATTTTCATGCTCATCACAGTGTTGGAACATTTCATCCGTTCAATGCCTTTTTTTGTTACTACTGTGCATCATATAACAACCCTGATTCGAGGCAGGATATATCCAATGTTTTCATATCGATATAGCACCCACATGTAAAGTTTCAGACGTTTTTCAATACTGTAGCACTCAAACAATTAGAATGCCCCCATTTTCAAAAATGTGTATTTGATATTTTCGGTATAGCTAATAACCTGATTATCTCAGGAAATCTGTTCACTTTTAAAATGATAGTGTTTGTAACAAGGTCCCTTTCTCTCTGCACTCAATTGTCAAGGCCCAGTGCCGATACACGCGCTGAAACCGTGAGACCCTGACAACATCTTTAGGTGTTATTATTCTGTCTAGTTCACTTCATAGTCGCGTAAATGTGACAAAAGTAGTCGTCCGGTGGTACGCATGAATTACAATCCTGATCATGCCCACTAAAACTGTCCGTAGATTTTCTATTCCTGGATGACTCCCGATAATGACAGCGTGCTCAGTCACTGTAAAATATCTGAACGCGGAGCGAAAATGCCCAGGTCCACTCCCAGTTGACAACAGATACCAACCAGTGAGTTCCTATCTTATGTGTATAGTTGTTTCGGGGCCGTGTCCTTCCTGTCCTTTGGTCAATATGTGCGTGCATGTGAAGTCTGACCAGAATAACATCTAAAATAGTGCAATCCATCACTGGTCTTCATACGAAAGGCACTGTAGTTGCATAAGCAAATAAACTTTGTCACATTATTTTCCCTACCAAATTGGATTCTGAAGCTGGTTGAAGGTGATATTAAAACTTGATTAAACAAACTGCGTCAGTTGATGGGACTGTTTACTTCAAAGCTGGATCACACAGCCGAATCACTACATATTGTTGTGGTGGGGTGATTTTACTAAAAAATCTGCTGAAAACAACACTTGAGTGTTCGCGGCAATAGGTTGGCTCACTCAAAGCCTAACTGACTTGTAAAAAGTACAACGTTTTCATAAATATTTTGGTCTGGAATGAGCCTCATTTGATTCCGATTTAAGTCAGTTAATGCTCTGTAGACGCTGACGTGAACATGATGAACACACCATTCCTTTGGCCGCCGCGTGCATGTGAGTTAGTCGACATTTTAAAGGTATTTAGTCATGGCTGCCTAAGGTTGGTAGTCAGGTAAGGGTCGTGCAAATGTCAATTACGTGCTGTTTCATATGAGGCCGGTCGTAGGGTCTACAGACATAAATTTTCGTAACAGATTAAAAGTAGTCCCTATTTGTTCACCCAACCGCCTAGAATCGAATGTTTGTTTCGTCTCATTTATAAGGTAATTATTAATCGCATTATGTCGACATGCTGGCACCAAATAAGATTTAAGCCGTGTTTTGTACAAAGGTTCTCGCCGTTGACGCTAGCGATTTGTTGAGAACCAGCCTTTTATCAAACAACACTGACTCCAATTATGTGTGCGTTTTTCACGAAACATTTTCGGTGGAAACTGTGATTGACTGGCAGCCGGCACGAAATACTATGGCTTGTCATTAGATAACCGAACTTTGACGCTCTAGTGACGACTGTCTATTTTATTTTCAGCAGCGATTTCATTATACCCGGCAATCTAGAACTGGTTACTCGGCAGCCTTCAGTGACTCTAACTATCCAAAATCCATAGAAATTACTGGGGTTAATCATTGTTTCACTTGTTTGAGATAGACTCTTACATGAAGACATTCTTGCTTACCAGATGACCGAAAACCAAATCCTAGATGAACAAAATGTAACGTTCCCTTTTCGCGTATCAGTGTAACCGTGTATTCAACCCTTATGCTTTAGCGGTATTTCAGCGGTGCGAATATCTGGAGTGGTGCGACTTCGTTCACTCCTGCATTAGGTCTTACAGGATGTTCCAGGGGACAGAGTCCTATTGGCGAAAGCTTTCACGGTATACGCAAAAGGGGGCGGACTTGGGAAGCCAGTGACCACATGAGATCCCAGTAGACAGCAGTGCTGTCTTTTTAGCAAACTACTAGTTTGCTTAGGAAAGGATTTCTGGGGCATCGGAATGAAAGGTGACGTTGAGATTTTTCGGGACTATTGTAGCTAAATTACATGAGAAACGGAAGGGCGAAAAATGCTGTCGGCAATTACCGATTGTCATATGTGCCTGGTAATACTGCCCAGTGGCACAAATGCCTGTCGTGGGATAGATAGAACGTTGGAATAATCCAACATAAATGCGGCCCAATGGTCAGGTGAATAGGCCATGGTTTCGTGGCTTGATGTAAAAAACTTATGCTATAACGCGTAGATCACATATCTCGTAGCGCTGAATCAGCATGCGCACAGTTCTAATTTTCAGCTGCAATTCGTTGGTAGCATTTTTAGTGTGTTCTTGTCCGACGTATTTACTTTCATATTAAAAGCACAGTTGTTTTCACACAACTGTCTTATTCTTTGTCCACTGATTGAAAAGGCCAAGCGTTGTTCGTTAACCGCGGCAATTATATTTTGGTTACTGACTAGCTTTAAGTAGTTAAGTACGCGGGAAGCTTATACTGTGAGGCAGCGTACGATCGGTGGCTTTGGAGTACAGGAATTGAAATAAAGTTAAATAATTCTGTAAACCTGAAAAGCTCGAAATTTAGGGTTTATTTGCGGACTTCAGATGCTGTACTTTGTTCGTCTCCTGTAAAACCATGAGCCCCCACTTTGAATTCGAAGAAGGACACAGAATACTGTGGAGTTGTGATTAAAATGACAAGAAAAACGACAATATAAACTATAAACGCAACGAAACTAGCTGAAGTGATGCAAAAACACCTTCGATTTGTGTACCTTGTTAGTGTACTGAAGTCACTACTCCAAAACATCTAAAGGTTCTTCACCCTTGCCCTCCAAATTTTGTATTTTCATTGTCTCCACATCCTTCCGAATTCTCTTCCCTAGGTTGGTAAACTCGAATCCCGGAGCCAAATTGTACGTGTGAAGAACACCTATTGTAGAAGATGCCGACAACGCATGCAAGTTGTAGATAACGATCAACTGCTTCAAGTTTTCCATGTGGAATTTTTATGCCACCTGATGACTTAGAGATGATTTTTAGTAAACTGCTTTGTCATTGGGATTCTAAACGATACAAGATTGGGGTTCTCAGAGGAAATAAACCAATTGTTTCATTCCAGCTTTTAACGGGCTCATCTTTTCGCAACCGACTGTTGTGTGTCTTTGTTTCGTCATGCACTGCGACATCAATCGCACATACATCGATACACTCCAGTGGCCTCGGTAAAATGGGCAGTAGGTGCTTTGTGCGGAACTGTGTACCTGGCAGTTACCGAAGTACGTAACCCCATATAGATGAGACACAACTAGCTTATACAGTCGGTCTTTATTACGGCCCGTAACGCCACCATCAGCGCATTAGCTGCGACCCACAGAGGAAATGGCGAGTGCACAAGCTCATTCTTTTGGACAGATTTCCTATTAGACCAACATATGACCATCTTTCCATCTTCATTACATAGCTCCCTTCGCAATCCCCGAATTTAGCAGTCTATTGGAAGTCCTATATTTATGCACCAGATTACCAGCTTTCACCTCCGATGCGTGGCTACCTATCACACTTCCTCAAATCACAAATGAACAAAACTGTGTCAGCTACAACCACTGCACGACAAGTGAGTAGTTCTCATAGCTAATAATGATGATGATGCTGAATTGCAGCTCCTTCGCAAGCGATAAAAAAAGCTTCTCTTCTGAATTTAAACTAGCCTTTGACAACTTGGCCATTTTTCGTGTTAGACTAACCGGATGATCCGTATTCAAACACTCACTCGGTCTGATCAAAAGCAACTGTCTTCAAAGTCAGCAAACTATTGCTGCTGGTTTCTGCCCAATCTATCTCCGCCGCGTCCATTAAGTATTTTATGAAGCCTTGAGCATTTCAATTTTTTGATATTTTCGGGTTATTTTCTGTATCCTAACGGCCACTTGCAAAATGGAGGCCCGTTTCACTAGCGGTCACACACCTGGGAACGATGAAAAGAAGTTACGAGAAAATACGAAAAGGCGGGAGATGTATTGGGAAAGGATTTGAAAATCTGGATTTTCCTGTGAACGCTGTCTGAATGCTTAAAATCAACAAAAAACTATGATGAAATAATAGGTCCTTAATTCAAGAAGTTAAATGAGAAAGTCGTGTTTCAAAGTGCAGGCGGATAGTATCTAAACCTTTATCAGAATCGTATATCGTCAATCAACCACTGGCACCAAACTGTTCAGACTTTCCGTCAGACTTACCATGTTTCATAACAACAAGACGAGCAGGATGCATTGCCCAACGCCAGAAGGCTTCTACCTTTCAACATAGTGTCATAATTGTATTTGTTGGTCGAACGACAACGCAACTGTTTTCAAGAATTATGAGCGATATGCGAGCACAAGTGAGCAGCTGTACTAGTTCACTTAAAATCACTTGCGGGAAGTGGTGTGGAGTACCATTAGTTAGAAGTCTCGGAGAGTATTTAAGCAAATTCTGCTGAGGAGCGATTGGACGAACGAACGCATTTCATGATTACTCAGATGCTGGTGAGATACGGGATTTAGAATGAACAAGGTTCAGTGCACACTTATTAACAGACACGAATTCGATGGTTAGAATACTTGAACGGTTAGACAACCTTCCCAACGACATTCATTTTTCAAAACCTAATGACGCAACAATTGACGGATGTTGCCAAGTAAATATTGCTTTGTTGTAAGCATGTGCCTTGAAACAGCGGCACTGATTTCCCCAATGACGCTGAAAAACTGAAGTGTAAAAAGTTGATTGGCTAACCTCTCTTTTGCGGTCTAAGCTGGCACAACAATTTAAAAACCTATGAAGTTGGAATTGATGGTCATCTCCTCATTGGGTATCAGGACGTGGTAAGTCTAGCGTATGGAGGACACTGTGAACCGTTTCACTTTATTCTCTCATATTTTTCAACTAAAACGCAACAAACCAAGAGATCGGAACTCGTACTTTTTGTAGATTTTTTCGAGACTAAGCCCTTTCAGGACACTAGAAATCTAGCCAAGTGACGTGAATCGTTTTCAGTCGGATGCTGCTAAAATGGTCCTTCAGAAGAGGCCAGAAAAATCGATAACTCTGCTTGCGCGAATTCCTTGTGTAGCTAGCCGTCCATGATTTATTGACGTATGCCTAATACTAGTTCGACCGAATTTTCTAGGTTACTCCAAACAGAGAGTTGTTGTAAATCATTGTAAATGAAGTGTGCAAAACGCTCTGAATATAAACGATTTTCGCCAAATCTCTTCAATCCTATTCGAATCTCACAAAGAGAATCTTGGATTTCGGGCTGAAAATACGAGAGTCAATAAAAATATTTCTCGTTCACTCTTGGAGTAAACTGGAGCAAATTTTCCTTAGTCACAGTAAGGGTTATTGTTTCTTTGCAGCAATGACTCTGTACTGATTGTTCATTTGCATAATTTCAAATTCGATAGTAAGACATAACTTGAGCAGCAGCAATAACAGCCCCAACGGTACAAAACCCAGTCTCTCCCTCTCACACTTTGTTCGTTGCTTGGTCCACATCGTGAAAACCAGAGCGCAGAAGTGATGTTTAGATGTTTTCTATCTGGCCGTGCAATACTAACGAAATGCCCAGACATGACTGTACGGCCACAATCAAAGCGGGCTGAATAGTGCTCAAGCGTCGGAGATGAATATATATGATAATAGTATAATAATGGTATATTATCATTGCATAATAATAATTATATAATAATTATATTATATAATAATATAATATGATGATGATGTGGTCACTAAAACAGATGGTGGCGTGCAAATTAAAGTAAAACGTATGTTTTAACCACCAAACCGACTCCTTACATATTTGCATCCTCAACAGCAAGTTGTGTTGGTCCATGTCGGTGGAAAGCATGTGTGCATGCTGGAAAAATCAGAGACACCGAGCCAGTTGAACGGGTTGTTCAACTGAGTCTGTCCGCCCTGTTCTGGGACAACCAGGTAGATAGTCGACTCAATCTGGCTGAAATGTGAAGAAGCCTTTGCCTTTAATCGAAATGGTCGATCAGCCGGAAGAATCCTTATAAACGTTCCTTTGAAGTTGCTGACAAGGCTCCAAGATTTAGTGGACCTATGGAGAGCGACATTATGTGTATTTTTGAGTTCATAATAGGTAGCATATCCGTCCGCTACCTATCCAACGCTTGAACTTAGGATCATATAAATAACTGCGTGGTTTATTTCTTGACTACTGGCAGTACCGACCGGCAGGGACGATGATCACTGCAC